TCAGTTGAATAACTAAGGCAATGTTAGCAATAAATGCAATGATTAAGTAAGGAAGGAAGGTATGGCGCACGGGGAAAAAAGAAAAAGTAATATGACGGAAAAAGTGAAGATAAAGTTCCAAACAAAGATAGGATTTCCGTATCATAAATGATTGCACTGTAGTTAGCCACCTCTAGATGAAATGATGGTGTTATATGCCCCCATAGACAGACCCCCATTGACAATTATTAAGACCATTCAGGTAGCAGGCTACTTTGATCCTGCCTGCTAGGGCAACCTGAACTGAAAGGGATACAACATCTCACATCCTAGCATACAGAACTGACCATGAAACCCAATAATAAAGAAATCTCCTCTTGCAAAAACCAAACTCACTTCTTCTGCGTGCCATGGCCAAGTGACTAGATCTAAATGCTACACAGCAGATACAGGAAGATAAATGGCGAGAGCTGTTTTTCAGATGCAGTGGTGCCCTCACGGTTGCCCCAACCACGGGATAGAAGAAGAAGAGATACAGGAAGAAAACCTCCCTTAACATAGTGATCATAACACAATAAAAACAAGTGCCGCATTATTCTAGCCCACTAACAAAATAACAATCTGGTTATGCTACATCGTGTATACATTAACAATGAAAAATTCTGTTTAGTTTTAGTAGACGTTTTTTGGCGCTCGCAACTGCATAAGGTCATAAGAGCGCCAAGGGGTGGATGTCAACAGAGAAGTCCTTACAGGGAATCAGACTTACTCTGCTCACCTCTCTAGCTTCAACAGCATAAAGTCTGCTTCGACTATCAAGGCACCCTGGAAATAGCCGGTCACAAGAGTGTGACAAACATACAAAAGAAGTAGAGGAAAAATGACAATAGTAAGAATCAAGAATTAGGAAAGAAAAAGCAGCAGTTCCCTGTTGCAGTTCAGGCAGTTATGAGCATGACATTGATGAATCAGCCCATTTACAATTACAATTCCACTGTGCAAAAGAACATGGTTCATGTCCCTCCTTTAGGAATGGCCTAAAGACACTTCAGTCAGTAGCACCGCTCTGAGGGGTGAAAAATTCTGTTTACAATTGGAAGGATTATATATATTCATATGTAGCATGTCCCTTATTTCATGCACACAAATAAGGTACTTTTTTTTTTTACAGGAGAGTAACAAACACACAAACACACACACAAAGAGGAAAGATAATGACGGCAGATATTTGATAGAAAAGAAGGAGCAAACCACACCGCAGCACCCACCAAGTTTCACCAACCACCTATATATATTGAGGTATTTGAAAGTCAAATACATGTATTTTTAAACAAACAGTGATGAGTACTCACATAACTATAGATGGGGAGAGAATCGATCAAGTTCACCAATTCAAATTCTAGGGGCAACAATCACAGAAGATGGCAGAAGGGAAAAAGAAATAAACGTAAAAACTGTAAATGCAAAAACAAGATTCAGACAAACGCACGAACTATTTACATCCAGGCGACTATCTTTACCTCTGAGAAAGAAAAAGTTGAAATGCTACATCTTACCCATTGGACCATGAAAGATGGAGGGGCATTAAATTATAATAATAGATAGCATTTGAATAGCGCAAATCCCCGCTCAACAGCAAGCTCTACGCGCTTCACAATCTATACTATTACCCCAGAAGACCTGAGAGCATTCTGAAACAACCTCAACTTCCTTGGAAGCACACAGTGCATGTAGCCATTTACAGGCGCTAAAACACTAACACACTGACAAGATCTTTCGCTGTCTATGGCCGGGTACCCATTCCCACGTCAACCTCCGAGTCAGAGATGACAGCGCCAGCTGGATGAGTACTGACTTTGCCTATAAATACTAATACTCTCGTAGATGTTCAGACACACACAAACACACAGACCCCCCCCCCCCCCGTTGACTTAGGATCTAAGTCGTCTACATTTAACACAGGATCATTTTTAACACTTTGCCGCCTCATCTCGCTAATTGACGATGTTTACCACCCAGTTTCTTTCGAGTTTCCCCAAAATTTGATGGTAAAGTGTAAATGAAAGCTCATCGACAGAAGCCAGTCGGAAATTTTCTGTGCAAAAATTCTGATCACAGACACTGAATTCCTTTTTTTAAACTCATATTCAACACACAAGAGATACGGTCAAACCAGCTCAAACAACCACCTGTCAAAGACAATTAAATCATCTGTACGAACAATCACTTCCCACTCCCCCGTCCCCTCCCCCCCCCTCCCCTTGCGTATTCTCTATTTCATATTATAATAACATTTGGATCACCTGTCTGAGATGACCAACTTTAGTCCTCAACATAGGGTGTTCATCTAGGACAAGTTCTTGGAAAGGTCTCCCTCCAAGATGTGAAACCCCCCCCCCCCCCCCCAACAACTTTAATAAAACAGTATCCGTACAAAATCAAGTCAGACATAAAGAACATTGTAGAAATGCACAGCCAAAACCCACATGATGTATCAAAAACAATGTCCCATAAATATGGCACTGGATCAAACCATGCAAAAAATACAAGCACTGGGGATCAACAACAACAACAACAACAACAACACGTTGGCGAGCTATTCAACTGTTCTAAGCCAAGAAAGCAACATTTTCCAGGAGACAAAAAAAAATTGTTTCATTCTTTTTTACAACTATACCTGCATTTTGTAGCTTTTATTCCTTTTTTTTTTCAATGCTTATACGTTTAATTTCAACAAAATATTTCGCGAGCACAAGCGACCGATATCAAAGATTTTGAAACAGCAGTAACAATTTTTTCCCTCCAAATTTTGAGCTCAGTACATCTCAAAAGCTACCCGATAGATAGCAACAATAAAGTAAACACTTTTTCTCATTTCATTACACACACTGATTTAAGGGAATGTTTTCTTCCCAAGCTACCCCACACGTCTAACTGCCTCTTCTCTTCAAGACAACAGTTAGAACAGACATGCAGCTATTACAGAATGGCATTATGCAGAAGAGTTAACGCTCAGATGCTACAGGATCACTAGCAACATTACACACATTATTTTTTTCTCTATGCTGCTACCTGATGGGGCAGCAAGGGTACATAACGACCAACAAACTTTGAAAAGCTTACCACATACATATGCTACAAGTGCGCACAAATATGTCCCAATATGTCCACTTCCAACTGTTGTAGTGCACAATCTCATACACAAATGATTGCACCAACTTACTTTTATTTTTGGGTGAGCTCATCGTCTTATGCATCGAACATCCTGATTGACATGAATAGCAGAACATTTCGCTCTGTGATAAAAGTAAATAGTAAAGAAGAAGACAGAAGTAAAGTAAAAATTCGATACGATACACCATAGACTATAGTACAGTAAAGATAACACACGTATATCATACACACGGTCAGAAAGCACAATTGGTAATTGAATATATGTGTAATGCACCTTTCAACATTGCAGGGCTATCTTACAGAGAGGACCTTCTAGTTTACTTTAAAAAAAAAAATTTTTTTAGTAAGTGTTTTACGGCATTTGCAACACAGTATGGTCATTTAAGTGCCGAAGATTAGAGGTGTTGCAAGAGAGTAACAAACACAATAAAGAAGGAGGGGAGATAAAGACGATAGATGTTTGATAGGAAAGAAGAAGCAAACCACACCAGAGCACCCATCAACCACCCACTTCTAGTTTGCTGTCTAGCTCCCAAGGAACAAAGCCAAGCAGGTGGGGAGCCTTGAAAGCTCCAACATATCCAAGTTCAAGAGCTGAGGAATTGAACTAGGGTCACTGGCACCATAGTACAGTATGATACCAATTAGGCTAAAGACATGCCCATTTTGTTCGTGCAAAAGGTGAGAGCTAACAAGCTTTTAGTTTTTCAAAGTTCTAGCAGAGTAGAGCTGGATCGATAACAACAACAAGCAGAGTAGAGGTTTTACTGCACTCGCAACTACATAAGGTCATATGAGCGCCAAAGGGTGGATGTCAACAGAGAAATCCTTACGGAGAATCGTTATTATTATTATTATTTTTTTTAAATAGTAGAGGGTTTTACGGCGCTCACAACTGCATAAGGTCATATGAGCGCCAAGGGTTGGGTGTCAACAGAGAAGTCTTTACAGGGAATCAGACTTATTCTGCTCACCTCTCTAGCTTCAACTGCACAAAGTCTGCTTCGACTATCAAGGCACCCTGGAAATAGTGGGTCACAAGAGTGTGACAAACATACAAAAGAAATAGAGGAAAAAATGATGAAAGTAAGGATTAGGAAAGCAAAAGCAGCAGTTCCCTGTTGAAGTTCAGGCACCGTTATGAGCAAGACATTGATGAATCAGCCCATTTACAATCACAATTCTACTGTGCATAAGAACATGGTTAATGTCCCCTCTTTGGGAATGGCCAATAGCCTATAGACACTTCAGTCAGTAGCACTGCCCGGGAGGGGGGGGGGGGGGGGGTGCATTTTGTTCATGAAAAAGGTGACAGCGAACAAACTTTTAGAACAAAGGTACAACACCTAGGACTGTCAAACATCAACAAGAGACTGAGCTGCTATAAATAACATGAGGTAGCATTGCCTTGACTATGGAAGGTAGTTGGCTAAAAAATAGCTAAAAATGAGGCTTGTAAGAGAACTCCAAAGAAAATACAAATTCTATACAATGGCAGTGACAGATTATAACAGCATATAACCTAACATTGATGTATGTCCATGGTGCATTGCAAAGCAAGATCAATGTCAAAACAATCTTAAAGCCACTCTATAAAGTTCACAAAACTGTAGAAAATAAGTTTTAATAATGATGCTCAATTATTTCATGACAGTCATCTTTGGACCATGAGTCACCATGGATACACTGGGAAGACACAGGTAACAAAAAGAAATTACATTAACAATAACACTTCCCTTTCATCCCAACCCTCCACCACAAAAAAAGAAGAATTGAATAAATACTTTACTTTTCCGATCCAGCGGCCATTTGGGTTCTAGCCCTTCGGTCTGTCAATATGGCAAAGAATTGACAGGTTTTAAATAAAAATTAAACCCTTCAACAAAACAAAAACAAAATACCAAAACAATACAATATCAGTAGATAGCAGCGGTACTGCCAAGATAGTTGTTAAGAAATGATAAAAAGTGATCAGTCAGTGTTTCTATTGTAAAGTAGAACGTTAATTAAGTGCTGTTTTTTAAATAATAAATCTGGTTAACATAATAAAGAAAATCTGGTATCAATTTTATTGTTCAGTTCCTATTTAAAAGTCAGTCCTCGAATTGCTAAATTTTGTAGCAAGAAGATCTTAATATGTAACAACAACATTTTTGTTCTGAGCCCAAATCAAAAGAAAAACATGCCCTTTGTTCCTATTTCTTTGTTCTGTCTCAATCTTGTTCTACAGTGGAGTCGAGATTTTGCATCAGTACAGCTTTCACAAAATATATGAAAATATCTTGAGGTCCACATTCCTCCTCTGAAAAGTTAGGAAAAGTCATTATAATTATATATATAGAAGGCTCAATTGTGAAAACCTTGGTATAGCTGCACAATTATAGAAAGGTAAAAGATGTTAGAACAGTCTTTAAACGAATGTAAAGTAACGATAGAATTAAAATACATTGTTGCTTTATCTCACTCATAGTTTTCCCTATTACATGAGTATTTTGAATGTTTAGTTTTGCATGGCGTATTTTATCGAGTAAATATTGGGTAGACCTAGACATGTTTTTAAATCTGTGTTTGTTGAGTAGAGTCCTGACAAACCGAGTGGAATACTGATCAGTGGAGTATAATCTAAATTTTAAAAAATTAGTCGAAAAGTAAAAGGAAGTTACGAATCAGACTGAATCAAAATCAAAACAAGACCACAAAATAATATTTTAAAAAAGTAATGAGTTATAATCTGAGCATATTAAAGTACTGACAGTAATATTGCATTTTGGCTCCATTGATTAAAACCCCTCATTCATTTACAGTGCCATTCACCTTCTGACTCTTGACCCTAAACTTTTAATTCACCCTCCAACTAAGTTTTCATTTAATCATCAACTCACCTCTATAGTTTTATACCCTATCCCCCATCATCCCCTTCTAAGATCTAAGAAAGAAACAAAATCCTCCTACTTCATGAGTCCTTTAACAACGGAAAATGTATAAGTTTAACGCCCCTTACAACACTCTAAGGTTATGTAACTCTTTAAACCCTGAGTTTTTTTCCCACCATATCCCGGAGTGTTTTTCCACAGTCACCTAAAACTGGTGCACTATGTCTCATTATAACCCCAAAAGCTTACCTCCAACTTCTAAATGGCGGAAACAAAGGCTCAGTCATTACTAATGAACTTGGTTCAGAAATAGTTCTGAAAAACAAGCAAAAACTAGCAGGAAATACAACGAAACAGTTGCCACTAGTATCGGACGCTCAGAGCGTCCGATGGGGAACGGGCTTATTACTGGAGTTAAGGGGTCGGACTTCTGAATTTAAAGGCCATCTCTGATAGGACCAAGCCATATGGAAAAATTGGTGAAAACTGCCCTTCCCATGCGCACAATGTCTGAAAAAGCCGAACTCAAATCTTCGAACCTGCAGTCCCATGATTACAGGACAAGTAGCCAAACCACTAGACATCGTGTGTCCTTGAGTGAACCAATAAACAGGTTAAGCTCTTATGGACCTGTCCAGTGTGCAATGACGTTGTTGCCCAGGACAGGTAATACAGGTTAAGCTGGATACTCTGTTTTCCACACTTGCAGGTCGAAAAGTATGGCAATGTCACAGGAACGTTTTAAGCACACACCCACAAAAATCTATTTTAAGCTAACTTAAATCAAATTGGCAAGTGCCTAAGAGTATGCTGAAGGGGAAAGGGGGGGGGGGGGGGAAATACATATAAAATCTAACAAGCATCTTTTTGATTGTTAAGAACAACTTTGCAGTCACACAACCAGCAGTACAAAACACCCCATCTGGTCACCTAGCCAGGAGTGTGACTGCAACGGACTTCTCAGGCGTGTCACAGAACTGTGTCCAGTGACGGGTGACAATAATTTTCACCACTACATGATTGCGGAAAATGACTGCGAAGCGTTAAATCAATTGACACAATAACATTAAGAACGAAAACTACTTCATGGAACTCTTACAATTCTTCAATTAGGTCAACACTTGCAAGAGCTGAGCTGAGGTAACTATCACACAACGTAATACTGTCCAGTCTGTTGATCTGCTTCATACTAATTTTGATTTCAGGAGGCACACAGTGCCCAGATGTTAGAAAAGCAAGGGTGTCCAGAGCTCAGCTGTTATATCTATTTAAGTCTAATAAACTCTCTGAGTACACCATCTAGCTGTTATATCTATTTAAATATAATAAACTTTCTGAGTACACCATCAACGTCACTGCGTTCACTGGGAAAGCTCTTATTGACATGGGCACAAAGCCCATGATGAATGCTCTGAGTCCTCCAGCACTATAGACTTTCTTAGTACAATCCCAGAAGCCTTCGTACATCTGTTTGTTTGGATCAGCTTGCAACTTGCTCTTGATTACGTCGAAAGGCATGATGATCATCCAGCTAAGGACTCCGGATATTCCACCACTAATAAAGTTCCCTAGCTGGCTGGGAAAGGAAGGCATCCTCTTCTGACTTTCGTACTGTAAGAAGGAATAGATCACTAGGTACGCTACAGAAGCTGGGGTGTCACGTATAATTTGAGTACAAAATCCTCTGTACATTCCTCTGTATCCAGATGTTTTGATAATGCTTGTTGCAGCTTCCATGGGACCACTGAAGTATTGCTTAGCAGCCGTCTTTGGAACTGAAAGCAGAAATATTGTTGTTTGTAAGAAAAAGCTCCATAAGATCCAAGATAATAGAAGAGTTATCATGGAACTAAAATTAACATAATTTGAAAGTAATAAGCAAATTCCAATTAACTGCAGGCATGAACAAAACGTCTTTTTCCAAAAAGAGTGGTATAAAAATCAGAAGGTTTTCCAAAACCAGTCCCTATCTTATTCATTAACTGTTTATCTCCGGAAAGGCGCTCCCAGCGGCTCACGGTCAGAACTATAGTGCCATTGCTGAAAACAGGTCTCTTTTATCAGGGTTTCATTCATTAGACGAAGACCTATCGAAATAGGTTCACTTGTTTTGATTTAATGACCAATTTAAGGAGGATTTTGTCATTTTTAGATGTCCCAGCCTAGTGGGTTTACCCCCCTCGGAGATAGAGAGATAAAAAAACATTGCTTAGGCTTGAACAAATGCAACAGGTCTCATAAGTTACAAAACTGCTGCATATGACTGCATATGGGCAGCAGTTCACACTAAGAAACAGTAATGAAAATCTATAAAAGAACATTTTTAACAAACAAAACATTCATTTATGTTTGGATAAGGGTACACACACACACCCAAAGCATTTGATCAGCACTGCACCTGCTCTAAACAGACCAAGGTTATTATTAATAAGAGTTTTACGCCACTTGCAACATGATAAGGTCATGTAAGTACCGAAGATTAGAGGTGCTACAAGAGAATAAAATACACAAAAAGAAGGAGGAGAGATCAGGAAGACAGATGTTTGATAGATAAAAAGGAGCAAACCACACCAAAGCACCCACCAACCACCCACATTTTTCGGTTTAAGAACTCAATCTCGATATCCAAGCTCCGTATACCAAAACCTAAGTAGAAGAGACGAGAATGCATTGCCATTCATCAAGAGTAACAAGTTTGCGTGCAGCTCAAATGATGCATGTTTTGCAGAGGTTAAGTTAGAGTGAAGTAATATTTTTGTATTATTTTATGTGGGCGTTTGAAGAAAGACAACAAAAGTTGGATTTCGTCTTTTTTTCTCAAAGATTAGCGGGGTTTTCTAAAGGAAAGATTCAATGCTGAAGACAATGGTATTTGAATATTTCAGATATCTCAGGTACGTTCTTAGATATTGCACATTTTCTCAGGTAGGGTACTAAAGATATGATTTGGAGAAAAGAGGCTTTTAATTTTAGTAAGAGTTTTACGGCACTTGCAACAAAATAAGGTCATATAAGTACCGAAGAATAGATTATGTGTTACAAGAGAGTAAAATACACAAAAAAGAAGGAGGGGAGATAAGGATGACAGATGTTTGATAGGAAAGAAGGAGCAAACCACACCAGAGCACCTGCCAACCACCCACAAATAGGCTTTAAACACAGTACACCATGGAGACACCAAAATGACAGATATGTAAGGATGAGTAAGTAGAACAGTTTGTTTGCAGACATAGATATTCATGCACACTGCTATGTATATTGTAAAAGAATGGACTCTGCTTTTTAAACATTGGTACTAAAAAATAACCTTGTTTTCGCATCGATGAGCTAGTAGCCCAGGTCAGTACCAGAGCTCAGACTTGTTTGAATGAAAAAGAAGGAGGAGAAAAGAAAGAATATGTGTGTGAGTTTGTGTGTGTGTGTGTGTGTGTGTGTTAGTGAGTGAGCAGTGTGTGTTTGTGTGTGAAGGGGGTGCCTTCACTATGATTGATATATCAGTCTATTACAACTCACAAGAAACAGAAATGGATTCATATGATTGCGAGACCTAATTGATAAAACAGAAAGGTTGCTCATACAGTCATGTAGAGATATCTCAAACACACCAGGATTGACAAATGTGTCAGACACATCCATAATTTGAGCAATAAAACAGCGATTATGAAAAATAAGAGATATATTGAAGAAAATCAAGGATATATCTATGAGGGTACATACAGCAGTAAAGCCAAGGAATGGCATATTGTACAAGCTAACCATAAATTTGCTCTTTTGGTGTTCTAGTTATCCAGCATACTCAACTTTAGTTAGTACTCAGCAAGACGAAATGATGTGGGGGCAAAGAAGACTGACGGGGTGGACTGAGGTGAAAGGTGAATAATTTAACCCTATCCGTACCTTGTGTTTTACTATCATATCCATATGACGTGGGGAACTCTGTGCCACCACCTTCCAAAGAAGAAATTTACTCGTTAATCCCATCCGTACACTTTGCATAGCAGTCTGTCAAAATGATTTTTTGAGAAATACTGAAAGTCTCAAAGAGATCATCGCACTAGAAGTATTCTAAAATGTAAAGAATACAAACCCGGGGGTACAAAATTACCCCAGGGCGTAGGGATAGGGTGAAACACTTCCTCTTACCGTTGTGAGTGTGAGGAATCTGAGACTGCAAAGTGACCTTGATGACCTCCACAGGACACATGATCAGCAGCTGGGGCAAAGTGGCCACGGCTGAAGCAATAGCTATAGCGCCATACTGAGGCTTGCTGCCAGCGATTTCTTCACAGCCTTGTGCTTTCAGTGCTACACCGTACGTGCCAAAAAACACAGAGTTGATGACACCGTAGGAAAACAGAGGCCAGCTCAGCCCTCGAAAATACCCTTTGGACTGTAAGAAAAGAGCAAGGGAAAAAAAAAATCCTGATTTGTCAAATTAATTGAATAGGATTTCCAAAATTTCTGGCATTGAAGGAAACAATTCAGTTTCATATGCACATAGAGAGTTTAAAATTATTATAAAGGATTACAAAAAATAAATAGCAACAGATACTTTCAGACAAAAGCGTCACTTGAAAATGGAGCCTCTTTTAAACATGCAATGTACTGCTCTAATTCAAAACACAAACATAAAGGAAATGGAAACCTTAAAAAACAGAATTAAAAAAACTTAAATCTTAACGAATAAAAGGTAAAAAATTATTACGATTATTATGATTTTCAACTCACACTGAACCAAATGTTCACTACATAAAAAAAGCACTTCTGCTCATAATCATATGTTCCAACAATTTCAAGACTCATTTTCAAATCAGTGTAAACATAAAGGGTGACCTTATTTGGGCCACAGTGTGGCCTAAATAAGCTAAACCCCCCTCCCTTACCTTATTTAGGCCACACTGTGGCCCAAATAAGCTAAACCCCCCTCCCTTACCTTATTTAGGCCACATCATATGGTAGATTTCTTGAACTAACCATGGATTCGGAAGGTCGAGATTCTACTGATCTTTTTATTTAGTGCGGGGGATTATTTCAAAATAGAGGATGATTCTAAATAAGTGGACCAAGTGTAAGAGTTGTGTGTGTGTGTGTGTATGTGTTTGTTTTGTGTGTGGTTGTGGTGAGAGAGAGAGAGAGAGAGAGAGAGAGAGTAAATGTAGTAGTGTGTTTGTATGTGTATGTGTAATGTGTGAATGTTATTGTGTGCATGAGTGTCTATCTCAGTTGTACGGTCCAAATGTACATTATTTTGTTGAGAATTTTACATAGAACTCAACTACAAAACACCTTTATACAAAGTCACAGAAATATTCTTTTTGTGCTTATTGAGGTGCAGTACAGGGTGATTAAAACCTGCAAGGATAATTGGACAAAATGGGCAATATCTTACTAATGGTCATATTTAGACAAATCCTATATCATTCTCTTTTTTTCTTAACAGCTCATGGTTATTAAAGAGTCAGCAAACTAGATCAAGGTAGTAATTTCGGATTCCTAATATTATGGGCATTCTTTAAAAAATTTAAACTTGTTTTTAGCGCTTTTTTCAACGTAAAACGGATTCCGTTAAAAAAACAACAACAACAATGACCGTATCTTTCTTTTTTAAGGTATTGTGCATACATTTGTGTGAAACTATTTTATTCTATGCTTTCCAAGTACATGAAAAAAGCTAATAAAATCAAGCAAAATGTTCTTCAGAGACATAGATCTAGTAGTAAGCCCACTGGAACATTTTATAAACCGTGAAAAGATCACCAGAAAATAACAAAATTATCTTATGATTTTCACTTGCACTTGCAATTTTTTTGACAAATTATCGTCTACCTCGTTATCTTTTTTTTCTTCACATTTTTCTTCACTATTCATGACAACTGGCATGTTTTCCAGTTATTATCAAGGAAGTGGATAGGCGGACCACGGGGTCTATCTAGCCCCAAAAGGATAGGTGGACCGCGGGGTCTACCTAACAAAATGCTGTTTTAGGATGTGAACCCTGGAATCAGCGTAGTGAAATAAGTAGATCTAGGTTTGACTAAGGATCGGTGGACCCCGGGGTCAACATAGTGAAATAAGTAGATCTCAGTTTATTTTATAGTAAGACTGGCGGAGCCCGTGGTCAACGTAGTGAAATTATAAGTAGATCTAGGTTTAAATTAATAAGGATTGGTGGACCCCTGGGTCAACGTAGTGAAATTATAAGTAGATCTAGGTTTAATTAAGGTTTGGTGGACCCTGGGGTCAACGTAGTGAAATAAGTACATGTAGATCTAGGTTTAATTTTAAGGATTGGTGGACCCAGGAGTCAACGTAGTGAAATAGGAAGGTTTAGGTTTAAGGTGGACCCCAGGGTCTACCTAACGAAATTTAATACTAGTTAGGTTTTAGAATAGGTGGACCATGCGGTCACCGTAGTAAAATAAGTAGGTTTAATCACGGTGTCCCGGGGGTCCACCAATTCTTAATTAAACCTTCTTATTCCTTTACGGCTATGGTGACTCCGGGGTCCACCAATCCTTTTAAAATTAAACCTACTTATTTCACTACGGTGACCCCGGGGTCTACTAATCTTTAAATAAATCTACTTACATGTATTTCACTACGGTGACCCCGGGGTCCACCTGTCCTAAAACCAAGTATTTTGCTAGGTAGACCCCGTTTTTAACAATATCCAGAAAATAACATAAAATGAGTATATAGATCTATATCTATACGTATTTTATTAAGTATATACTTAAAAATAAAAGACTGAGCAGAGGCTTACAATGTAAATTCTGTGCTCTACACGTAGAGAAAGTCTTAAGTTTGCGCAAAACAGATTTTAGAAAAAAAGTTGATCTAATTATTCTAATAAAAGTAAAAGTGATTGTTATGGTGAGATTTGTTATTATTAATTCTGGAAATACAGATAGTTGCTGAATCTAAAATTAACTAGAACTGTGCAATTCGTTTTATTTCAATTCCAAAGCCCAAAGGCATAGCAATGAGTTAGATCTAGATCTAGCAGTTGTAGGCTCTCTGGCTGCTTCTAACATTTGTCTGCTACTACTGATTCTAGACAGGGAATCTAGATCTAGATCTAGCTATCACCTGCACTATTAAAGTCAAATATATGGTAAAATAAAAACAAAACTGTGAATCGCTTTGTCAGTCAGTACATCCCAATTGCCATAGCAGCACGTATTAATAGTTGAATAATTATACCGAAGCAACATGTTATCACAGTGTGCAGGGGAGAGCGGGGTGCCCGGGTCGCTGACCGGTCGATTCGGTGGTTCGGCTTTTGTAGATCTATGCATTTTTTACGTAAAGCCCTATTACTAGATCTATTAGTGTTGTGAAAACTTCAACCTCTACAGCTAAGGCGGCAAAAGATGTTGGAAAATAATAATACGTCCTGAAGTTTCATAATTTATACAGAATAATACAGCCAGTAGTTTTTATCTCATCGAGTTATAAAAATGGCCTTGTAACTTGTTTTCAGAAGCAAATTTTAATAGTTACAGTTCTACCGAATCGATTTTCACGCAAATTCAACCATTTTGATGACCATTTCTTTTCCTTTTAAAAAGATAAAGGCCTGTCGGATGTGGCAGTGCGATTAACACTAAGTTGTTTAGACCCATCAAAACACAAGGCTTCGTGGCCGATCACAAAGGTCTACGGGCTTATCGAGGCCGATTCGCCCTGCCGAGTGCACGTTCACTAAACTGCCTACTAGATAGAATCTACTACCAAAGATTCTTCTCGATCTTTGCTACTACTACTACTACTACTACATCTACATGTAGGCTACTACTACTAGACAGTACGAGAGATGTACTACTACGAGACAGTACGAGAGAGTGCCACCCAGGCAAAGATAGTGTAACTTTGACTCAGCCACGTTGTGTACACACTTTTTATACCCCAAATTTGACCCGGAAGTCCATTCGGAGGATTTGACCTTTTTACTTGACCAAAGTGTGCCAAAATGGTAGCCTAGATTTTGCCCCTCCATGAAGGAAAAATCTGGCCCTCATTCAAGCCATTGAGATTGAGCAAAACTTTGCGTATCGTGCTTTGTTCTTACAATATTCATTATGATATATATAAGTTGTACACTGAGACAAAACTGTACTAAATGAGAAAGGTGCACCATTATGAAAGTGGAACGAACTCAGTTGCCTTAAAAGGGTGTCCCCTGGTAGTTTGAGCATGTGTGGCCTAAATAAGCTAAACCCCCCTCCCTTACCTTATTTAGGCCATATGTGGCCCAAATAAGCACTCCCAAACATAAATGGGTTGGCTCCTTCATTTCTCTACATCTTTCCAAAAACGATCAATGAATTAAACCAATGAAACTGTCTTAGGGAAATATCACGCTTCAGACTTCAGACATGTCTATCAAAGTTGAAGTGATAATAGTATAGAGAAAAGCATGGATCCTCAAAAATAGTTAATCTATTATCCATTCATTTAAAAAAAGGAAACAGGAATAAGTTGTAACTTGGCGAGACCATTACTGACACAAAAAAGTACACAAACACAGCTTAATAAAGTCAATGAGAGATTGCACTATCGAGAATAGAAAGTAGCAACCTCAAAGCATTTTTATTCTTGGTGGCATGTAAAAACTGTTCCTGATGCTTCTGCCATCCTTAAAAAAAATAACCCAGAAGGAAAGGAAACCATAACTTACCAGATTTTGAGCCTGCACAGTTCGAATGCAGTCCATCATACTGGCGTATTTTCCACCATATTCCTGAGTTTGTATCTGAACCTGAATGTAAGATGAATGAAGTTTGGAGATAAAAACATGCACACAGATAAAGCTTACCTATTTAAACTACTATTTTCTATGATCCCATGCCCAGGGTTATATCCCTTAAAAAAAAGAACTATATACAAGGCAGCCTGACAGCATGTATTAATTGGACTTATAGTGTAAAATCCTTTCATGAGAAGAGAAACACATCAGTGAAGTGAAAGTTATGAAAAGATGTTATAAAGATATTGAGTGAGTGTTAACCAAACAGCCTCGAAACTGTCTTTAGTTTTAGTAAAGGTTTTAAGGCACTCGCAACCGCATAAGGTCATATGAGTGCCAGAATATTAGAGGTGTTACAAGAGAGTAACAAACATAAAAAACAAGAAGGGGAGATAAGGACGATAGATGTTTGATAGGAAAGAAGAAGCATACCACACCAGAGCACCTGCCAACCACCCACTTGCAACTGTCTGTCATTAACAAGAACACCTACTCATAACTTAAAGTATTTAACTGTTAGCTAAATATAACTTGCTTATGCACTCACAATTACCTCTAGCAAAAATAGGTCAAGCTGTCTAGACTAAAAAAAAACCCTACTCACTGATCATCAAAGATATTTTTGTTTTCATGTAGTACCATAAGATTCCCCAAAAAGATAAAGTCAACAAAGATTTAATGGCCCCTTACAATTTCTCAAACAAATCAGGTTCAAGAATGCCTTATAAGGGATTGGAACTGCAGTCCAGCAGGGTATTACATGAACTGATTATGTGCTAACAAGCTTCAGACAGATGGCACACTGATTGTGTAACTATGAAAAATGGAACAAAAGAAATAAAGAAGGAATCAGTCAAATTTAATCTGAACACATAGATGATATGTGTCATGACGTGGTAGAATCAGGCGTGCGTCAATTTTTGGGCATTTTGAGGTATTGGTATCATCTTAAAGTCTGTTCATTTGCCTTCCTTTTGGTGAAAAAAAATATTCGTCTGTGGTGAATAGAAGTAGAGATATATGCGAATGAAACAAGTCAGGGTCGCCTGGTTTCAGTGGTAAAATTATCGAAAAAACGGCCACGAAAGTTAGATAACTTCCATAGCCTGAGTCCTTGGAAACTGAAAATTTACATTTTTGTGCCTTTCATCAATGATTTTCAGTAGAATCCACACAGAAATAAGTTTTTAAACGGACATCAAAGGTGTTGAGCCCCCCAAAAAAAACTGAAAAAAAAAAAACTGCCCATCGGCGAAAAAAATTATGGTGTCTTTGATTTCATTATCTTCACGAATGCCTGATTTCACCATGATGTCTCACATATTATTGCATGTACGACATCATGTAGAAATGTCTTTTAAAAAACTGTCAACAAGGACATGAACACAAGGATTTAACAGGGACAAAAGAAATAGGGAATGTAAAAAAAATCCCAACAAACCTTTATCGTGTCTAACGGATGACCGACCACCACACCAGCACAACCTGATTCATTGAGGGAAGAAACAATGTACAGAGATAATACAATTAATCTATAATAATTGATCACTTTTAAGGACAAACGGGCTTACCCAGACAGCGAGGGTTTCTAGAAATCTTGACCTACACCAAAAGTGGGCATTGCCCTATCTATATGAAAAGTTTGGTTTCATTCGTGTGTATATTTGTTTGGTTTAGAAAAAACTCTGCGAGTCTTTTAAAGAAACTGAACAAGGGGTGAAAACTTTACCTTCGATATTCTCAAAACAATATTCTCCGGGATAGCCCCCTTGTGTTTAAAAGTGACCAATTGACAAAGTAACTAACTGCAATCAAAACAATTTACTTCAGAAATATGTGCAACACATGTGGCAGGTCACTGAGACATCATAATACATCAAGATGATCGCGTTATTATTAAATTTATAAAGCAAGTTCTATACAATAAAACCTAGTACCAAAATGCATTCTTGCCACAAAATAAGATATTTTTCAATGATACAGAGATTTTAAAATAATATTATAACAACAACAATAATAATTCTAAAAGACAAAAATGACTGATTAAAATCAGCTAGGAAAACATTCAGCTGTGCTTTACAGAAAAAGGCTTATAAATTTATGTGTAAACAGTGAAGGAGGATTTTCAAGAAACAGACCAAAAAATTATCAATCAAATGCACGAAAAAAAAAGTCTAAACCACATGTTGTAACTTACATATTGCAAGGGAGAAGTACATGAAGCTAAAACGGGTATTGTCTCCTTTTTTTCTCTCAATTACATTACTTCCTTGCTACCCTTCTCACACATGGAACATTCAGAAAGTATCCATAGTTCTGAAAGTCTGTGGCTTCACACCAGTGCAATTTTTAAACTCTAGTCTTCTTTACTTATTCTTACCAAAGTTCTGAGATCACTGAGTGTAGTATAAAACAGCCAAGACACAAAATCTAGGCTATCCAAACGTAAGTTTCAACTTAACCTCGGACCCACCTCCGATTGCTCCAGCCAAGTAGTCATTGATGATATTTGTCTCCGACATTGTCAAAATGATAAGATTCCTCTTGACAATGAATAGGGAAACAAATAGGCCCGCACAGAAGGTTCAGCCCCAGCCGGCGCCTGGGCTTGATTTACACCACCTGAGAAAAACAGATATTATATCACTATCAACAACTAAACTATATTATTTTAAGAAACAAAAAAACCCCCAACAACATAGAACCATATTATCTTCAGAAAAGAAAAATGCATACACTGTAGTAAATTTCATTCAGAGTGCAGAGTTAGGCCCACACAGTGCTAGTTCCAGGAACAAAGTAAAGTACATGTAAGAGTATCCTATTCATTTTAGCACAAAACCTCAGACACTTTCATTGGTAACTGGCCATTTCCGCTGCAGGCAAATTGGGAGTGTAGCCTTATTGACAGATCTCAGCCTACGCTGCTCAACCATTGAGCAACTACTAATACAGAGAATTATTTTGTTTTTAGTTATAGTAAGTGTTTTACGGCACTTGCAACACAATAAGGTCATATAAGTGCCGAAGATTAGAGGTGTTACAAGAGAGTAACAAACACAAAAAAGAAGGAGGGGAGATAAAGACGATAGATTTTTTATAGGAAAGAAGGAGCAAACCCCACCAGAGCACCCGCCAACCAACCACGTGTTATTTTGTTCGGCCACATTTTCCTTCAATAAAGTATAGCACATTCTTGATTGTCAATGAAAGTGGCAAAGTAGACTATGAATTAGATAACGCTCTGGGAACTGATCTAGGAGTATCTTAAACTGAGTATTCCATCTGTAGTGTCTTTAAAAAAATTATAAGGGTGCCCGTGAGGAAATTTCAGAAGAATTTTATTAATGGTGAGGACTATGAATTGCTGTGATTCAGGGGCTCATCCAGATGTTGGCAGACACCATAAAGGGAAGGAGCCTCAGAGCCAGGGGAGTCACCACAAGACAGGAAACTGGGAGTGATAACACACTGGAGGAAAGTTATGGGTTTGGACTGGCCCAGAGCACTTTAACCCTATCCATACGTCGTGTTTTACTTACTATCGTATCCATACGACCTGGGGAACTCTGTGCCCCCACTTTCCAAAAAGGAAATTTACTCGTTAATCCGATCCGTACCCATTGCATAGCGGTCTGCCAAAATGATTTTTTGAGAAATACTGAAAGTTTCAAAGAGATCTTCTCACTAGAAGTATTTTAAAAGTGAAGAATACAACCCCTGGGGTACAAAATGACCCCAGGGCGTACGGATAGGGTTAAAGTGGTGCTTGCCAACACAGGGGATATAGCCCAAAAGTGGACAATTCTGTAGTTTTGCATGGTGGGTGGTGGTAATGTAATCACCTGCGTAGTGACAAGTACTATTTAATGAACTGCTCAGAAATTTATGTAGGCTTATCCTCCTGAAGCCTGTGCTTTCACTCGTAGAACATAATTGCCTCTCCTCTTACTACCTCTAATATCAGAGCAAGGATAAAAACAACCTTTTTCAAAAAGTTAAAAACTACAACATATCAAACCAATCCCTTCAATTCCTACTGGAATTTATTGACCTTGTGCCAGCTTTTAATGTTTCCCTCATATATATTTCCTTGTATGTTAAAAAAAAAATCTCAAGCACTATTCCTTGACTTTCAGCACTACAGTAGTTCTTCTTCAACTTTAAAGCTTGCAGTAGAACATAGATTAAATAAAAGAAATCTTACCTCTCAGAACTGTGTATAGTGATCTTGGAGGTTAAAGACCACTTATATAGTTAGAGTTAGTAGAGGCTTCTACAGGTCACGAAGGAAAAAGCTGAAATAGCACAGTAAAAAAAAAATAAGCAGTGAAAATTAACGTCCTTTCATCAGCTTCTACAACACCGAAGTATAGCATCAAACTACAGTCCACCCTGTTCCTGCCAAAGAAAACCATGTAAATCTCTCATTGCTGAACAAAAAATTCAAACTTCCCTTTCCCCCTCGTCCCTTTCAAAGAAAAACAAAAGCATTGGTGCCGGTTTACTTGATGATATCATGATCTGCTGTAATGTTGCTCTTCTACTTCATGGTTTACGACCGGACTTGTCGGTGATCTTTCTGTTCTGCTGGATGGTCTACCACCCAACCAGTCTGAGTGTTAATGATAATAATAATAAATAGCATTTATGCTGCTCATTTCCATTTTCCACCAAATGCTCAATGCACTTTATTACATTCATAAAGATATTGCATTAAAAAATTAATGGACAGGTACGTACGTAAAACATAATACACGTGTATAAAAAATTTCTAAGAAGAAATTAGTCATGCAGTGAGCCTGGCAATGTGTAGAATATATGCAATAAAAACTCAATAACCGTCAAGATAAAACTAAAACTTGTATGGCTACAGACAGAATAAAACATTTGTTCCCTATGATAGCCCTATGGACAGAATAACATTTTGTTCTACTCTCTCTGTGTCTCTCTCATTCTCACGTGCTGTTTTTTTTCAGTCCAAGAGTCGGGCACTCACACGCATGTACCAGAAAAGTAACAGTTCATTGTTATGACAAGTATGCTTTTGAGAATAAGTAATGCTTCGGCTGTTTTTTGAAAATGTGAATATTAGGGGCACTCCGTATTTTATACAACAGTTCGTTCCATATGTGTGCGGGGATCAAAGAATGAAAAGGAACGTTCACTATATGTTTAATTCCAATGAAATGCACTACCTTACAGTGACTATGATATCATGAGAGTTCATGGCTTCATATACTCTCATTTTATTTTGTCCTAGCATGTGAAGACTGGTTTCCAGGCGGGTGAAGTGGATGAGAGGGGCCAACTACTGGACAGACCACTGATTAGTGAAAACTGCCATGGACATGCACATCCAGCCACTTCACCGAAAAAAGCCAAAGAACCCCAGAGTCTCGTACAACACAACAAAAGCTTGTTTACAAGTAAAAAAAAAAGCTCTCGAAAAGAAAGTCAGCGAAGATCCCATTCCTACAGGTGACTTATTTGAAAAATGGACTTCCTTCAAAACAGCTGTCAATGAAACCGCCACTGCTATACTTGGTCCCAAAGCTAAAACACACCAAGATTGGTTCGATGAAAACAATGAGTATATTCAAGCCAAGAACAAAGCCTATGCAGAAAGGCAAAAACTACCCCTCATCCCTCCCCAAAAAGGAAATATTCAAGTCTCTTCCAGCTAGAGCCCAGAAAGATCTATGTGAGATGCAAGATTCATGGTGGAACAATAAGGCTGAACAAGTTCAACTCTATGCTGACCCACAACTCCAATATGTTCTTCCACTCTCTGAAAACTGTCTGCGGCCTAACAAACTCAGTATGTTCTCCCTTGTTGCCCTCGGATGGCAAAACCCAGATCAAGAACCAAGAAGGGGTCCTGAAATCCCCCAGCAACCACTCCTGGAAGTCCTAGACGCTCCTCCTACTCCAGATGAAATAAAAAAGGCAATGCAAGACCAACTCCGGCAGAGCTTCTGGAAAAGACAGCATTCCAGCTGAGATCTTCAAGGCAGCAGGTCCTTCAGCCCTGGAAACCTTCCATGACATCCTGCGACAGGTCTGGGAAGAAGAGCAAATGCCTGCTGATTTCAAAGACATGCTCATAGTTTCGCTGTACAAGAACAAAGGCAGCAAAGCGGACTGCGGAAACTACAGGGGCATCTCCATTCTCTCCATAGCACGGATAATATTTGCAAGGGTTATCCTCAACAGACTGATAACCATCTCTATACAGATCCTACCAGAGGCTCAGTGCGGCTTTAGGCCAGGGAGAAGCACTGTAGACATGATCTTTGTCATGAGACAAATTCAAGAAAAGTGGACAGAACAGAATAGGCCTATTTACTCAGAGTCTTTATTGACCTTACCAAGGCTTTCGACATGGTCAATAGAGATGCCCTGTGTACCATCATAGAACGGATTGGCTGCACTCCCAAATTCCTAAAGATCATCCAGCTCTTCCACACAGGCATGAGTGGGCAAGTTCTTGCAAGTGGCAACATGACTGGCGAATTCAAAATTACAAATGGCATCAAACAAGGCTGTATCCTGGCACCAGTCCTCTTCAATATCTTCTTCACCGCCATGCTTTCCCAAGCCTGCAAGGATCTTGACAAGGGAATATACCTGAATCATTGCTAAATCACTTCGCTGTCTAAGCCTCAAACTCAAAGCTTTTTGGACTTAAAATAAGCATAGGGAAAACTGAAGTCTTTCTCCACTAATCACTATCAATGGCAACAGCCTGAAGAACACCAAAAACTTTAATAAATACCTTGAAAGTAACATCTCTGCAGACGGCTCCATCGATCAGGACATTGATTCGTCACGAATCAGCAAAGCTCTTGGTAGACTGAAAAACAAGGTACTAAACCAGCACAATGTCCAGCTGTCAACAAACATCAAAGTATACAATGAAAGCTGTAGTCACTGTGTGCTCTCCTCCCTCCTCTATGGTTCTGAAACCTGGAAGCACATCAACAAACTAGAGCAGTTCCACCAAAGGGCTCTCCGCAACATACTTGGCATCCGGTGGCAAGACCACATCACCAACATAGAGACCCTCAACTGATCAGGCTCACAAAGGATAGAAAGCATGCTTGTCAAAACCCAACTGAGATGGGTTGGCCATGTCATCCGCATGGAAGACCACCGAAGGCCCAAACAGCTGCTGTACAGCGAACTCTCAAGTGGCAAAAGAAATCTCGGGAGGCCAAAAAAGCGTTTCAAAGACACGATAAAGGCAAACCTCCAGTTTGCACAGTTAACCCCCAAAGAACTGCCACTGAAAGGAACGCTTGGGGCAGGGCTGTCCATCTTGCCAGCAGAAACAGCGATATTAACTTCCGGGAGAAGCTGACTATCAGAAAAGAGAGGCGACACAATCCAACCACAACATTCCAGTGTACCCACTGCAACAGACATTGTAGGTCTACATCCAAGATTGGATTGCACAGCCACATATGCTCGTCCACAGATGAGCTGCAGGATTTCATCATCATCTTCTGCAACGAAGGACTACCTACATACTATAGTCTAACTAAACGTAGAAGGCTGAAGGCTTGTCATCATCATAAAAAAGTGTAAGATCTGTGAGCAACATCTGTGGTCATGATTCTCAAATCATTCCTTTGCTCGAATGCACTCAAAAGTTCTATCCTGATCTTTCCCCGTCAACCATCTTTTGGCTCTCCAAGTCTTTGTTTTGTATTGGTAAGTAAGTGTTTTATGGCGCTCACAGCTGCATAAGGTCGAGAAGGGAGGTTGTTTGGGGTCAATTTTCAATTAATCAGCCAAACGAATAATGAATTGTGTAAGTGTTTCAGTTTGGAAAGCATTTAATTTGAGCTTAAACTCTTGATCATAAGTACTGAAGGCATCGTCAAGTGTCAGCGAGGAGCCAGCACCTGCCATCTTGAAAATCAAACGATAGGCTATATAACGGGAAACGGGGGGTCAAAATTTTTTTTAAATTCAAAAGTACGGAAGCCTGGGGGCAGAATAAAGACCAGATTATTGGCACCCCGGGGACAGAATAATGACTTCCATCTCAGAGATCCTGTGTGCAAGTTGCGGATGTTAAAGATCTCTCGATGTTCCTAAAATCCATAAGAGTAGACTTCGGCTCCCACCCAGGCAAAATTCAAAATTCCTACCAAACTGAAAATTTGTAAGTTTATTAATAGCCTAATCTGAGAAAGCGGTTGTTGGTTGTTAGATCTTACCTTGACATAAGATCAGGGGTGTGGCTGAAAGACAGCAGTAAGAAGGAGCAAAGATCGAACAGCAGTAGAAATCCTGTCGAAAGAGTCAGGAGTCTAGAGGAAGGGGCAAAGGATGGGGGCTGGATTGAACTTTGGCTTTGGTGGACCCACCGTGTTTACACACACATTATCATGCCCATTAACCATAACAACAATGGGGGGGGGGGGGGGGGGGCTTCCCCCCCTGGCAACAATAGGCCTAATAACCCCCCCACCCCCCCTACACATAGAGGCCTAGATCTAGATCTATAGGCTATATTATAAATAAATGCAAAACAATAAAATAGCGGACCATTTCACAGCTCAGCAAGGCTCAAATAGTAGTTCCCGCTTCGTTCAGTGTTGGGTCCACCAAAGTTCAATCTTTCCGCGGATTTGGGGGGCGGGGAAGGGTGTCACAAGTCTATCTAGATCTAGTAGTACAATGAATGTCAAAAGAAATTACAAAAAAAAAGGTTACACCAGGTCAGAGGCAGTCTAGGCTAGATCTACCTGTTAACTGTTACCTGAGCCTTATAGATTCTAGATCTAGATCTAGATCTAGATTAGTACAGTCAGAGAAGGCCAAGGCAAAAATATAAAATTTTATGTAGGCCTAGGCCTAGATCTAGATGTCTACCTCTTTCAGACATGGGCATTTCGATGCTTCCTCTCACTCAATGCACGTATGACTAGGCCTATGAGTTCTTTCCTCAAAAGGATACGGTCTACAAAATGCAAAGGAGTTGACCGAGACTGAGAGGCCGACGCATGTTCCCAGTGTTCATTTGACACCGATCAGGTGGAGTGGCTGTTTACATTCGTGACCACAGACCAGGGTATTATTGCCAAAAAGACATTTTATTCGATCCCATTCTTGAGTTTCCGTGCAAATTTTATGCAATGAAATTTAAGGGAATTTAGGCAATTCTTATAACAATTGTGATTAGTTCGTACCTAGGCCTATTTGATATGTTACATATCTTAGTACTCTCAGGCCCAGTTATTTCATTTGACTTGGACATATTCGAACTCTTCGGTAGTCTTCGGTTTTCTGATCAGCTGCTTAGCCGCTCAGTGCTAGATAATCTGGCTCAGCCCAATGTCCTTCAAAATGGCTGCGACCAGTGTTTATCGTGTTCTCGCTTGCAGCAGAAGCAAACTTTTGACTCCTTTTGTTTGTCGTGGAGGTATTAAATGCTTTACGTTAACTGTGGATCTAGATATTTATCATGGATTTGCATGTTTTTGATTTATGTAGATATATCTAGATTTAGATCTTGAGGTGTCTACATAAATAAAACATTTTTAGTATTGTAAGTTGGGATGAAGTCCCCATTAATTCGTCCTGCGAGGGCCGTGTTATGTCGGCCGATAAGCCTATTTCGGCACCTCGCCTACATTCGGGTCCCGAGTCCGTCTAGCCCCTGGCTCAGCACACGCACACCACGTACCATCTTACGTGAAATTCGGGTCCCGAGTCGGATCCCCATTCACGCAGGTCAAGTGTGCGCGCGTCAGTCTGAGAGTTTCTTTTGAGTGTGCGTTTGTGGCCTTCTGAGTGATCTTCTAGAACCGCCTGCGACCCTGCGTTGGTTCGTAATCGAGGCTTACGTCTCATTCAAAACACCCCTAGTTGGTAGCTCTAGATGTTCGTCCAATGAAATTATAGAAGAAATTTACCCACTTAGACATGATGAGCTCGAAAGGATAGTCAGGAAACAAGACTTCCATTTTTCTATACAAAATCTTTCAAATGAGCTTGATTTTGTATGAAATGATACTAATTATCCCCTTTCCAACCTCAGGTCATTCTCATAACAACAAGAGCGTCTAGGAAGGTTATTCGAATGGGCGTAATACTCGTAATGTCTTATCAGCTTGTGAAAGGGCGCGGTATTCATGTGTTTGTTACACTTTATAAATAGAAAGCTGTGAAAGATAGAGCGTTATTTTCATCATCGATTAACACACTCCCATGGTATTCATGGCGGAAACACACGTTTCCTGGCGTACGCGCTGTACACCAACATTACACCTTGAGTGACCCCGGCGGCCTGTCCGGAACACCCAACGTAATCGGTTGCTGATAAGATTCGCATCTCAGCACAGACGCTGGACAAGAGTTAATATCTGGGACTGTTCCAAGTCGAAGATTTATCATGTAGATATTCTAGAATCGGAACTGGCTATCCTCACCCGGGGTGAGAATAAAAATACGATCGACCTCTCACCCCGGGTGAGACTTGCCAGCGTAGGCTATTCTCACCCGGTGCGAAAAAAACCCTGTTTTTCCTAATTTCGGAATACTGTCTATCGGTGTGGATGATCAAATTGACAAAAAAGCAAAGAAAAAATGACGTTATAGCACAAGTAAGCTAATTTGATCGTCTACAAAGACGCTTTACTTTTCGAATTGAGCCGAACTACGCGTGTCGCCATTTTGTTTTGCCCGGAAGTTCTCGCAAGATCTACTCCTCCTCTCTCTTTCTCTGTCTCTTTCTGAATACTGTGACCTATCGATGTGGACGATCAAATTGACAAAAACAAAGAGAAAAAATGATGTTAAAACACAAAAGTAAATTAATTTGATGCTACGGCTATTTAACTTTTCGAATCGTGCCGAACTACGCGGGTCGCCTTTTTGTTTTGCCCGGAAGTTCTCGTGCTACTCCTCTCTCTCTCTCTCTCTCCCCCGGTGAGAATAGCTGCCACCTCGATGCGGGCATGAGGCGAGGACTCTCCCCTGACTCTGACCTCTTGCAGGCCAATAAAACATTTTTCGCCTCTCCAGTTAAAAAAAAAGACACACTACAGACGCTAATACTGCGTGTGATGTGGGACAGGTCAAAGGCCGGACCATTCGTTGTTTACACACTTAATGATGGCAGGCCTCTCTGCCTGCACTCAATAAATTATGATTCATGGAACAGAGAGCGGGGGTACTAACGTAACGAGACATGAGTACGAGACTTATGCTCTTGCTCGACGGTAGAAGGGTTTGTTATATAATAAATAAATTATTCAGACCAAGTGGGCGAGGGCATAGATTCTAGTTTAACAATGAAAAAAACAACAAAAAACCCCCAAAAAAACAACAACAAAAAACAACTAATATAAAAAAAGCAATTCAAGCTCGTAAAATTCTTTCAATTTTTTTTTCTTTTTTTTTTTTTTCCCTTGCCTCTTCTTTCTCTTTCTTCTTGAACATTTGGAATTTGGAGCCAAAAAAAGAACCAGAGAGCTAAATGAAATTCTCTGGGCCAGACACAATCCAAAAGAGACAAATTTCTGGGATTTGGCTCCAAACTGACAATCCTGACTGTGACTATTCGACTATTCGGACACACAAACAGTGATGAACACGATGCTGCATCAGCCCTGACACCCCAGGGTCACGTCCGCTAACCTCAGCTCTGATCCCTCTTGGGTCATTTACGGTAAAACGAGGGGGTGAGAATAGCGAGATATGCTGGACCTTGGGTGAGAATAACCACTTCCTATAAAAAAGTATTTATATTGCACTGCTTTTAAAATGCTCGGTAAATGAATACAGAACTCCAATTTAAACAGAGTTCACACCACTGCCATAGGAAAGTACAATGATGAGCAAAAAATATGCTCAATGGGTACCCGGTTATAGCTAGATCTAGATCTAAACAGTGAAAGATCTTGTCAGTTTGTTTGTGTTTAATAGTTTAATAACATGCTAAAACGTAGAACGACGCATCCTCCTGATAGGCTGCTAATTTTAGTAATGTGATGTCATCACTTCCTGGGATACCCAGAGACTATTTTAAGAAGGCCGTGGAGGTACCGCATGGTATGACGTGTTTTCTGTATGTGAAGGACATTTCGGAATTCCTAGTTCAGTACTTGGACATGATGGAAGATCGCTTAGGTCGTTGAAGCTCGGAACAGTAAGAACGCTGATGCTTGAAATTGAAACCCGGTAAACGCAAAGACAATTAACCACACGAAAACTGCCGTAAAGACGCTGGAGGATTACCCCCCCCATCCCTTCCTCCCCCCCTTCTGCATGCTTCATCACTGCATAAATAAAAAAAAACTACAAAGCAACAAATTATAATTTATGGGACAAACTGTTTGTCAGGTGGGAGGAGGAGAAGAGGAAAAAAAAGAAAAGAACCTTCCAGGACTGGGATTCGATCCCACACTTATAAAATTATTCCATGACTTCAAACACAGACATGCTGTCCATTCGGCCATCAGAACTACCAACAGCGAAAGGCAGATAAAGATTGATATAGACACTTTCATCTTTGGTGCCAAGTGGTTGGCTATATTTAGATGTAGTCACGTGATCGGAGGGGAATCCCGGTTTGACGTCAAACAAGATGGCTGCCTTACCTAAAAATAGTTTGTGTTGTTCTACGTTTAATCGCATGTGTGTTTAATCGGCTGCTTGCACTACATGCTTCCCGGGAAACCGAGAAAGTTTCAGAGTGTACTGGGGTCTGATGGTAGTAATAAAAGTTGTAATGTGCATAGAAGAGCATTGTAGAGGGTGGATATCATGTGCTGTAACATAACCCCCCTAAAAAACAAATCTAACAGAAAAACAAAACATACTATGTATATAGTACATTAAAATGTCTTATTTGGCCTTTTTTTCTCTGTAAAATTTCAACAACCCAAGTTACGATATATTTCTTTGATCACTGGTTTGTGTACAGCAGCTATTAAACCCCCCCCCCCCATTTATTTTATATTAATACAATATTTGTTTCCTCTTTCTTCTTTTCAACTACAGTTTCTCCAAATGTGTCTCAGATTGCGGCGAGGCAGCTGACGCTGATTTCTGTTCGCTGCTCAACCAGCTTCGTTGGGAAAGGTATGCTTCTTACATGCAGAAAAAGCTTAATTTAATATAAAAATTTGTATAAGCTTTCCTAGACAGAAGTATGAGGTACTATATGGGTTAACTATGCTTTTTATTCAGTTTCAGTTGTGATGTATGGATAAAAAGAGGTACTCATTTTGTGAGCTGTGAGTGCTTGATTATTGAAAATTGTCGGGGAATTTTCCGATTCAAATTGTGCAAGATATGCTTCAGTCCTGAAATAAAAATGAGTAGGATAAAAAAAAACAACCAGTCTTTGTTTATTGGACAGAGCTTAGATTTTGTTTGTTCTTCTGCTTTGGCTCCTGCTGGACTCCAAAAAAACCCTCTACTGCCATCATGATTGTTGGACAGTCACTCTAATTGTCAGTAGGAATTTCTGGTCCTCTTTGCATGTTTGTATGTATATACATATCTAGGTTCTCTTAAGTATTCTTCTCTCCTCCTTCGTCCATGGGTTACAGGTGACAGCTTGCCTTGTGGATGCAGGCTTGTAGAGGATATGTCTAATATGTTCCCGTGCCATGGATAAAATTTTTCCTTAACAAGCTGTTGCGGAGTTTGTTAAATAAGTTAGAGTGTTGATTAATCTTTCAATCCACCTGTGCTGGTTGTGCAGTTTCAAAAAGAGATTCATTTTTAAAAAGGTTATTGATATTTCCAAACTTCTTTTCTTTGTCTGTGCCATTTTGTCCTAATTTGCTTCCTCGTCAAATATGTGGATTAAAAAAAAAATTTTTTTTTTGCTAGGTAACAAGAAATTATATCCCAATTAAAAAAAAAAAAAAAAAAAAAATCAAATCTGATGTTGTTGTAGTTTACCCAACTTTCAGTACATTTTTTAAAATCTTGAAGTTTGTTTAGTGTTTTAATGTGACTAAATGCCAAATGTATGTTGTTACTTCTTTCGGAAAAGAGATTTGTATATATAAAAGAGAGATTTGTCTGTTTTTTCCTAAATTGATTTATTTTTTGTTCTATTTTCAGTGACAGCGAATGAGTTGTGGGAGGGTGTGACGAGTGTCAGCAATGCAGGTAGAAAGAGAGGACGTGGGAAAAGTGTGAAGCGGAAGCTGGATCTAAACAGAGGGCAGAGAATTGGAATGGGTGAGTTTAAAAAAAATCGATTTCACTGCTATTGCAGAATTGCACTGTAAAGAGATTTTGAAATCCTTAAGTAATAATTGGCTTATTTTTCCTTTGATACTCTCTCATTTGATTTTGTTCACTTCAATTTCAGCTCAAGCGAAACATGTCAGAAGCATAGTGAATAGGGAATCTAAATATAGGACTGGCTTTTTCTGGAGTGGCGTCTAATAGACATTGCTTAATTACCCCCACCTGATTCGATTCAAGCTCGAAAAAAAAATGCCCAAAAAATTATTTCTATAAAAATTGCTATTGAAACTGAAGCTGAAGACATGAAACCGTATGACTACTTGGAAAGTAATTTTGATCAAATTACCCTTTGGTTCCTTTTGGTCCCTGCGAGCAGAAAATCTCCCAGTGTTCCTGACATCTTATGTTGACTGCCTTTGACATGAACGCGCACTTTTCATAATCGCAGAAAAAAAATTCTTCCTCAATAATAATGTCTTTTCCTGCTATGTCCTGTTTGGGGAGCAAGTTATTTTTTTTTCGTAACGACCTTTTTATGTCTGGAAAAGAGTTAACTTCAGGGAAAATGAAAAAGAAGACTGAGGCTTCTTTTGCACTACACAGGAAAGTCTGGGATGGTATTCCCTGGTCTGACGGGTCCAGCCCTTGTTGGCAAGAAACTGGTGGACATTCATCAGGTGAAGCCACAGGAAGAGGAGGAAACAGCTGCCCCGGTGATCCCAAAGAGAAAGACCCTGAAGATCCCGGCCCTTCAGGTAGGGCTCTCAAGCTATTATATGAACATTTGAGAATTGGTTAGAGTTTTATATTTTTCACTGTTCGGCACAATGTGAGGTTTTTAAGAAGTGGGTATGTACGGGTTGAGGTCATGGTACGGTGTACCTTGGGTTTTGTGCTTCTGTATATACTATAAACTTATTTGAAAACTCTCTAAGTTAAGTGCTTATTTCCAATTTGATCGTACAGTCGATTACTGTCATACTGCCAACCTGGGGATGAAGTTAGTGGTATTGCGGGGTTGGCAATATTGGGGTGTTGGTGCGGTTCTCTGTGAAATTGCACGGACTGCCCATCGTCAAGGGAAATGATTCTGCATAACTAGACTAAGGACAAAATTATACTGAATTATTTCCCTTTGTCCAAGCCTTGACGACAGTCTTCGCCTTCAGGATTCAAGTGTAACAATGAAAGAAAGGGAGATTGTCCAAAGCACAGCAGCTGACTGGGTGCAGTGCGCTGTGTGTAGTGTGTCCTAGTGCTGGGCAAAAAATAGCAAAATATAATTCCAGTACTTACCGACACTGGACCTTGGATACCATCAGTACTTGTAACTGGCTCCACTTTTTCCACCGGTTTGTTGTCTTGTTTTGCTTGATGTTCCACCTATTTCTGCCTACTTTTTTTTCTTTAAGAAAGGACTTCCAGTGGGAATTGTATTCAGTATTTATGTGTTTGACGAAAGCTTGAGGTAAAATCGAACCTTTCACTTCGTTTTCCAGAGAGGCTACAGTGGCAGGAAGTATCCTGGGACTAGTATAGGGTCACCTGATCCAATCAACGACTGTGAGTACACAGACACTTTTCTGTTGGCTTGATTCTCATATATATAGCTTAAACAAAAAGGCAAAATTGTTGTAGAAATTAGGAGCCATTATTTTCATCCGTGATTATGGGACAGGCTGATAGAAGTGTCCAAGTTTGAGATCCTCAAAAGAACATTTATAAAGTCTAATCATGGGACATAGGTTTTTACATCACAAATAGATATAGCATTGCGTGAGAAGCTAAAGAAATGCACAAAAAAAGCTTTGTATTAGTATTGTATTAGTATAGATTAAATTCCCCTTTCAGGTTTTAGTTTCTTAAAGAGGTTCTGTCTCGGGGTTTAATGTTATAAAAGCTCTGTTACTTTCTGTGAAATAAATGTAGCAATGAGATGGAATTAGACCTTTTTTTTACTTTGCTAATAAAGCCATTTTGCAGACAAAACTGTTGATTTGAGTATTCCTCAGTCCTTTTTGACTTTATGAGTTTGCTATCAGATTTATTTGAAATATAAATGTAAGTAAGCAGCAATATCCTTAAACGTGGAGGGGGTTCACTGAATATTGTAGTTTTGCTGCCTGCAAGCTGAGTAACAGGGTGTGTTCTTATTCCTACTTTTCAGATGTATTTGAAGACTTTGATACAAAAGTGTTGGAGGTACGTTGCATTGTCAAGTTATTGTTGGTGTCTGATTTAAACCCTGTGCCCTTGAAATTAGGTCAAACATTTCTTTTGTTTGTAATTATGTTCTTCACACCCATAATTACAGTTGGTGACACCAGAAAAATTAAAAAGAGCAATACACAAAGTTTTGAGCAAATTGTAGAGGATAATAAGAAAGACTGCCACATTTTTTCCCCCCAAAGACTGCATGTTAGAGTTTTTAAAAAAGCTGAATTTTGTTTTGGTGAGCTGTTTGGTGGACACACTGTTAAAAGTCAGACACCAACGTTTTCCTCTCATGTATTTATGAAAAGCTAGTCTTAAAAATGTTGATATTTGCTTGGTATATAGAGAGAGTTTTGTGGCTTCTATTTTTGTACTTCAATAGATGTTTTCTATTGTGACACCTTCAAAACCTGGTTCAATAGAATTATAAAGTGCATCTTTCAAGTTACTGCTCAACTTTTCTGTCAGTATATTTTCAGTCATTCATGTGTAAGGGATGGGTATAAATTTGATGATCATGACCTTGTTGGATTTTTTTATTTTGTCGTATTATAAAAGTTTGATTGTTTAAAGAATTCAACCCTACACATTGCTCACATTCACATGATGTGCATTATTGAATTAAATGTCAGCTACTGTATCTGAGTTGACCTGTAATGTTTATATTGTAGATTCAGTTGCAATTATAATATGAAGAAAAAGTTACAAGAAAAGATGTCAAAACTAAAATTAGCATTCTGAAAATGATAGTAAGAAAGTTTACTGTTTTGGAAAGTTTAAAGAAATGAATAAAACTGTATGTTGGGTAATTTTGATACCATGAAATGTGCTTTTGGCTTATGCTTGGTTTTTGATTATATGAGGGTTATATGAATGATAGGTAGTAATAATATTTAACTAAAATATACAATGAATACCATTTTTATCAATTAAATGAGGAAGCATAAAAAATGATTAGTTAGTGTGTCTTTATACGTTAGAAGCCATCTTTGTGCCTGCCATAATTTTGTTGTGTTTGTTGGTTCCGTAATTATTAATTTAAATTAACAACAAGAAAAGTATTTGGCAAATGTGAAAATGGTGATTTTTGTCCAAAGATCTGAAGAGTCAACATTTCCAAAACCAAACATGGTTGCTCTCTCTGTGCATTTTCATAACAAAATAGGGCTTTAAGTTTCTCAGAAAGTAATAGATCAGCACACAAAAATTGTACTCCTCTAAGGGCAAAAATCCAAATTTTAATTCGCCCCCTTAGGTTGCCTGTAGCCTTAGACTCATTTCTCCATTTTGTTATAAACCCTTGGATATGGTTATTAGCTTTAAGGTTTTGCATGTAATGAACTTGAGGGTCTCATGTCTCTGTACATATATTAAATATGTTTGAAAAATTAGTTCTTACTTTGACTGTCTTTGATACTTCCAGTACAAAATGGTCTCCCACATGACAGGAAACTTGGGGCGGAAGATGCGAGTGAGTACGCTGGTGGTCACAGGAAACAAACAGGGATTGGCCGGTAAGTGATTAGAACAACTATTTTTTAACCCTATCCGTACGTCATGTTTTACTATCGTATCCATACAACGTGGGGAACTCTGTGCCACCACGTTCCAAAGAGGAAATTTACTCGTTAATCCTATCCGTACGCCTTGCCTAGCAGTCTGTCATAATGATTTTTTGAGAAATACCGAAAGCTTCAAAGAGATCTTTGTACTAGAAGTATTCTAAAATGTGAAGAATACAACCTCGGGGGTACAAAATGACCCCAGGGCGTACGGATAGGGTTAAGTACTCCCTCCTCTGTGTCGCTTTCTCTTATATATAGCTGTTTTTGTTTCACTGACAGTGTACTAGTCTACCAGTCTAAAAGACATGAAATAGATAAATTTTCTGCCATGTTTGTTCAAATCAAAGGACTGTTGATTGAAGTGTCTTCAGTTGACTAGCTCTGAGGCTGAGGTCTTGTGGAGAATACTGAAGAAATAAGGTAAAGTTATTGGACGTTGTTCAGGACAGTTGTCTGAGAAAAAGACAATTTTTCCAAAGACTGACTAGACTTGGATTGACTTAAGACTTTCTGTTGATGGTTAAATTAAGCTATAATTGAACAACCAATGACAAACAATACCTTGTCTTGTCAGTTAAAACTTTACTCTGTCTCGGGGTTTGTGTTTTCATAGACAGGTTGTTAGGAGGAAAATCAAGTGTTTAGTAGCTTGTGTACTGAAAGACCTCTAAAGTCTACAAGGTTTTCACACTTTGCAGTCACACTGCCAGCAGTTCCAAATAACCTATCAGGTCACCCAGCCAGGAGAGCGACTGCAACAGACTTCTCGGGCCTCCCGCAGAAGTAACCAGAGGGGGTAATTTTCACCGGGGCATTATTGCGCCGCCAAGTGACTGCAAAGTGTTCAGTGGTGTACAAGTACAATTATTCTGTAGGAAGTTTTTAAGCTTAGGGTTGGCTTCTCATGCCACAGTGTTTGGTTCAACAAAAGGTTTATGCTGGATATTTCTTGGTTTCTGCCAGGTGTTTCTCACTCCTTACCCTTTAGTAGAATCTAGCCCCTAGTCTTTTCAGACTTGGAAATCAACATACTAGTCTGATGTGAATGTTCTGCATGTTAGTGGCACCTTCTTCATTGGAAGTAACAAAAAAGAACTGGATTTTTTTTGGTGAGCTGTTTATTCGAAGTCCTAAAACAACATACTTCCTTCACCTTCACCTATCCCATAGACTGGATGTCTGTCAGGGCGCTTTTGAAGATTTGGCCACCAGCTTCAACCTCTCCTTCCGGTTTTCTGCTTTCCTGAGCGTGTCTTTGAGTTCCAGGCCTGTCCATTCCTTGATGTTGTCCTCCCAACTCTTCTTCGTTCTACCTCTGCTCCATTTTCCCTGGATGCTGCCTTGCAGGATCCTCTTGGCAAGGCCGGATGAACGGTTGATGTGTCCATAACATACTTAAGAGTGCCTTTTAGAGGACGTTGTGGCCTGATGAAAGTCAAAGAACTCTACCTCCTGGACACCACGAAATTAAAATGCGCTTTGGCTTGGCAGACAGCTAGAAAAGTTTTGCAAAGTCCATGTGCTTTGGGGGAGTAGGGGATTCTGAAGATTGGAAGATATGCATAAATTTGTGTATGACAGGAAATTAGAATCATTTTTTGTATTTACCGTCATGTTTCAGGCTATGCTGTTGCAAAGTCTCCTATGGGAAAGGCAGCTTTGCGAAAGGTTAGTAACATTTATATCTTTCATGTAATTTAAGATTTGAGAAAAAAATGAAAAAAATCTTCTGCACCCAAGGATTAGATCTAACTTGAAATATGTACCCTAGTACTGTTGGAATGTTATATAGCTGTCTGCTACTAATGAAGCTTCAGTTTGCCCTGAAAAGAGGATGTCTCCAGCACTTGTTTTTTTGTCGCATTTTGATATGATCTTTTGGCTTCATATATATATGCTCTGAACTTGATGTTTATCTTGTATGCACCTTATAATTCTTCTTCTCATTATTTTGCAGGCAAAGAATATGGCAGGTCAGAGGCTGCAGTTCATAGAGCTGTATGAAGGCCACACAGGTTTGTGAGGATTTTTTTTTTGCATTGTATATTTGGCTTGGAGGGAGGGCTTGCATATATATAAGCTGAACTGATTTCTCAAACATTTTTTCTTTTGTTTTTTAGCATTAAATAAAATGTGTTTCAAATCAACACCGCTTAGAGATGGAGATGGAGGAAGCTGGGATAGTGGCTTCTTTTTTTGTGCTTTTGTTCTGTGTACACTTGTGAAATTCATGTTTGGAGAGAAAGCACTCTCGTGATGAGGACTATTTTTCAAAAGCAGATTCTTCAATACTCCACCATTCTTGTTTTTTTTATATATTTTGTAAAAACCTTTTTTTTGCACTTTACAATTCGTTCTCTCCGATGCATGTTGATCTTTTCTGCATTTTGAAACTATGGTAGTTAATGTGGTTCTGAATGTCAAACATGAATGCAGCCAGTAAATTGTATTTATCATTTTTCCACAGTGTTTCACAACTTTGCTGTCACTGAAGGGAGGACCAAGATATTTGTTGAAAAAATGCCAAAAGGTAAATGTCAAGGACCAATCGTGTTCTAATAGTGTTTCACGACTTGTGATTCTGTAGCATAGTTTAGTAAGTACAGCGGTGTGCAAAAGCAGTTTTCATTTTTAATGTGGGAGATCCATATAGGCCTACTGTACATTTGTTGAGGCTGTATAGAGAATGAGGAAGCCCTACTCTGATATCTCAAGTTTCTTCTGTTGTAAGTTGTGGGTGGTTGGTGAGTGCTCTGGTATGGTTTGCTCCTTCTTTCCTATCAAACATCTGTCGTCCTTTTCTCCCCTCCTTCTTTTTTGTGTATGTTACTCTCTTGTAATACATCTATTCTTCGGCTCTTATATGACCTTATTGTCTTGCAAGTGCTGTAAAACTCTTGCTAAACTACTAAAGTTTGGGCTCTTTTTACATCTCTCTGAAGGAGACTGCAGAAAGTTGTGTATTCCTTGCTGCTTTGTTGGCTGTGAACTTTTCGTGTCCATGAGAACACTCTCTTGTAGCCAAATTATGAAGGGCTGTGATGATGTTTACTGTTGTTTGAGAATGGGGTGAGCAGAGCTATAACTATAAGATGTGGGTGATATATATGTGGGCAACAGGCTTTTGTTAACAGTTTACATCAACAATTAGAATATGTCAGAAATAAATTTTGTTTAGTTTTGCTGAGTTGCTTTTTTGACAATTCTTTTATAGAGAAACTTTCTTGCACTCAGGAAGAATAAAAAAGTCCTCATTTCGTTTTGTCAGAAACTTTTGAAAAAAGGTTTAGGTATTCAGAAATGTGTGTCTAGATTTAGCTCAGAAGCTTATTGAATTGGAATTTCGGTCATGACAGCACATCTTGTGTCTTGCTGATTGGAATTTTTAGTTCTTTTTATAGACGAAAATTTGTTGCCATGTTAACAGCTGTGAAGACTTTATTTACTTAAACTTGCATTCTTTCTTTGTGCCCCCCCCCCTCCTCTCTCTCTCTCTCTCTCTCTCTCTCTCTCTCTCTCTCTCTCTCTCTGTCTCTCTGTCTGTCTCTCTCTCTCTCTCTCTCTCTCTCTTTCTCTCTCTCTCTCTCTCTTTTATTTTTCCTCCATATAATTTTTTTCTGTTTTTTTCTCTTCCTTGTCTTTTTTCCCTTTAGTAAAAATTGTAATTTTATTTAAATGCCCTCAATGATTTCATTATTATTTAATCTTTTCATTTGTTTCTTTGACAGGTTATGGTTTAGACTGCCACAGAATCATCAAGACCATCTGTGAGATCATTGGTATTCAAGATCTGCAGGCAAAGGTTGAAGGTAGTGATGGGAATGTACAGAATATCTGCAAGGGTTTCTTCCGTGGACTCATGGAACAGGTAGATGAGATGCTGGCTCCTTTCTTCTGTTTGTTCTTCTCTCTTGTTTCAGTAGAGGTTTAACGGCGCTCGCAACTGCTTAAGGTCAAATGAGCGCCAGAAGATTTGAGGCGTTACAACAATACAGGAGAGTAACGAATATAAAAAAGAAAAAGGGGAGATAAGGATGATAGATGTTTGATAGGAAAGAAGGAGCAAACCACACCAGAGCACCCGCCAACCACCCACGTTTGTTCTTCTTCCCCCAAGGCAGAGTATGGGATTTAGTTATGTGTGTGTGCGTGTTCTTATGGGTTACAAGTAGAGAGACAACATTCTTTTAGTACTTTTAGATGAAATAACTGAGATTTTTATCTTCTCATTCGTATCCTGTAAACGTTAATAAGCTGGTTAGGGCATTCCATGTTGTCATGGGTCTAAGACATAATGTGGTTGTGTTGTTGTCCCGTCCCCAGGAGACGCACCAGAGCCTGGCAGACCGTGTGAAGCTTCACGTGGTGGAGTTCCGACCTGAGCTGGAGAATGTGCCAGTCGTGGTGGCATCGCCCTCACACGGGGAAGTAAACCTGGAGCCTATCAAGGAGGAGGCTTTTGACTTTGACAACATGTACTACGAAGATGGCAAGGTATGTACTCGTCCAGTTATTGTTTTTAGTCTTTTCTGCGCATCAAATCACTAAAGACAGCGAAAATATAATAGAAGCAACAGAAATGCAGTTTCTTAGGAGACCGCTGAAAATGTCATGGAAGGAAAAGAAATGAAATGAGGTAGTGCTTGATAAAGCCCACTTGGGAAGCTCACCGTTAAAAGCAATCAGGAAACGACAAATGCTGTTTTTGGGACACCTGAATAGACATAAAAGTATTAAGCATCTTGATCTCAATGGCGAAATTGAAGGTAAACTAGGCAGGGGTAGGTCCAGAGCAATCTACTTAGGGAACCTAAACAAATGGGTAACGGGGAAAGATTAGGGAGACGTAGCTTTTTTAGGAGCATCCGAGCTACGGAATGAATGGAAAACCCCGATCATCGATGTATGCCGCAGATCTGGCACTGGATGATGATGTGCATCAGCACAGTTTAGATCACTTTGGAGGCTGGCTACGTTGACCCTGGCTGTCAGAGCCAACCGGAGCTGAGGATATAACATCCCAGAAGACAGATGGAGATATTTGCTAAATAAAATCTCCCAACTGGGGAATTGAACTTACATTGTCTACATGCAATGGTGTAGAACCTAACTTCTTTTAGTTTTAGTATTAGTAAGTGTTTTACGGCACTTGCAACACAATAAGGTCATATAAGTGCCGAAGATTAGAGGTGTTACAAGAGAGTAACAAACACAAAAAAGAAGGAGGGGAGATAAAGACGATAGATGTTTGATAGGAAAGAAGAAGCAAACCGCACCAGAGCACCCGCCAACCATCCACATGTAACTTCTGCACCACTAACACACGCTAAAGTAAAGAGAAGTATGTCTGCGTGATAACGGTTATTTAGCCGTGGGATAGAGCAAGACGGTCAGACAGAAGCTAATAATAATAATAATAATAATAATAATAAAAATAGTGATGATAATAATAATCTTAATCAAAATTCATAATCACATTTATTTGGCACATATCTATGCTCTACAGCATGCTCTATGCACTTTACAGCTGTGGTTACCCTAGCAAACCCTTCAACACTCAGGAACCTTCTCTGAAACATTCTCGGCTTCCCAGGAAGCATACAGTGCAAGCTGTGGATTGCATTTGCTCTGCACTAACTTTACTTTACTTACTTTTCCGATCCAGCGGCCATTTGGGTTCTAGCCCTTCGGTCTGTCGATATGGCAAAGAATTTTGCTCTGCACTAACAAATTGACAAGATCTTTCACTGTAGAGAGGCGGGTACCCATTCCCGCTCGGGTGAATTCTCATAAAAAGCCTTTTCCAGGGACACAATGTCAGGCTCTTGATGGTATTCACACCCACGACCTTATTGTTGCAAGTCTTAGAGCCTAAATTGAGGATAAGTAAAAAAAAGTAGGACCAAGTAATGCCGCAATCCAACTACCCACTTGTCTAATGAGGTGTTAATGGGTCTAAACAGTTCAAGCAAAAACATTGCATGTTGAAGTCACTTTCTGTTTCCTTTTTGTTCCCCTTGCTGCGATCTCAATGGAAGCCGACCGCTAAGGGTTCAAGCATCAGCTCGGTCCAACATTGTGTCTTTGGGGGAAAAGCACTTTACACAAATTTCCCATTTGGCTCAGTGTTTTCTGAGATGGATGTTTTAAACTTGGAGGTCCCACCTCTAACCCTATCCGTACGCCCTGGGGTAATTTTGTACTCCCTGGGGTAATTTTGTACTCCCTGGGTTGTATTCTTCACATTTTAGAATACTTCTAGTGCGATGATCTCTTTGAGACTTTCAGTATTTCTCAAAAAATCATTTTGACAGACTGCTATGCAAAGAGTACGGATCGGATGAACGAGTAAATTTCCTCTTTGAAAAGTGGTGGCACAGAGTTCCCCACGTCATATGGATACGATAGTAAAACAGGACGTACGGATAGGGTTAAAAATAGTTGTTCTAATCACTTACCGGCCAATCCCTGTTTGTTTCCTGTGACCACCAGTGTACTCACTCGCATCTTCTGCTCGGCTAGAGTATTGGGATACATTGGAGTCTACGTAAACTGAAATCTATGGATTTTCAATTTAGGGAGGTTGCTCAAATATGAGGACAAGGGTTGGGGATTTTATTCTCTTTCAGTTTACTGCTGTTTCCGGATTTATCATGTTCGATTTATTAAGGGGACTCCACTGTAATTTTGAAAATAATTTTCACCATTTCTTGGTGGTTGTCAGCATTATTGATTGTATTTTATGAGAACAGTTGAATGAAATATATTTCTTCATTCTGCAACTTTTTGCTTTGTTTGAAAACTGTGTTAGAGCTTTTGGAAAAGCTAATAAAGAAAATATCAGGACCAAAAAACCCCCAATCCCCTTCTTTCCATTTTAATATGTTCCTTTGATGTCTAAGTTCGAAATTGTTTTTAAAGGTCGTGCCAGGATTTGATTTGACTCTTGCTTTTATTATATTGCGTAAGTGAGATGAGCAAATTTCGCTGTGCTTTGATTGGTTGCTCCTCCTGTCCTGTAATGGTTTATTGCTTTAAATATTGGGAGAGTGGGTGGTTGGCGGGTGCTCTGGTGTGGTTTGCTTCTTCTTTCCTATCAAACATCTATCGTCCTTATCTCCCCTTTTTCTTTTTTATGTTTGTTACTCTCTTGTAACACCTCTAATCTTCTAGCACTCATATGACCTTATGCTGTTACGAGCGCCGTAAAACCTCTACTAAACCTAAACTAACACGTAACAGCACTTAATGGTGCGGTGGTTGTCAGCTTTGTCGGATATAAGTTCATAATCTCTTATGCTTAGCTGCTTACTCTGTTTGTCTGGTGTGATTTGTCTGTTAATGGATTTTAAAGAGGAAATGTGGGTGTAGAAGATGGACGAAAGTAGAAATGATCGATAAAAAGCCCCTTTTGGTCAAGCAGTTGGTGAACTCTGTGACACGATAATTGCAGGCAGTGTTATTTGACGAGGGCTGTGCTCGCTCATAATTATGAATTTCTGCAGTATGGTGCGCCATAAAATTCTTGTTAACTAAACTAAACAAGGAGGGCTACAGTGTGGGCGATCTCTGGGGCAGGTGGAGTCTTTGTACACGTGTGCAGCAATCTTATGGTAGGCCAAAAGCTGGGTGTGGGTGGTTGATGGGTGCTCTGGTGTGGTTTGCTTCTTCTTTCCTATGAAACATCTATTGTCCTTATCCCCCCTTCTTCTTTTTTATGTTTGTTACTCTCTTGTAACACCTCTAATCTTCTGGCGCTCATATGACCTTATGCAGTCGCGAGCGCCAAAAAACCTCTACTAAAAAATCAAAAGCTGGGTAGGCCCACTGCTTTTTGGAAACCAGTACTGATGTGGTGTTTGGGTATACTACAATGTAATGATGGTATTAATAATGATGGTGATGATGATAATGATAGTAATAATATTAATAATAATACTTATTGTTATGATAATAATAATGATAAATTTATTGCATTTGTACTGGGCAAATTCCCGCTCAACAGCAAGCTGCATGAGCTTAACATTCTATATATATCATTACCCCTGCGGACCTGATGCATTCTGAAACAATCTCAATTTCCTGTGGGTGCTTGGCGGATTCTCTGGTGTGATTTGCTTCTTCTTTCCTATCAAACATCTATCGTCCTTATCTCCCCTTCTTCTTTTTTATGTTTGTAATACCTAATCTTTTGGCGCTCATATGAACTTATGCAGTTGCGAGTGCCGTAAAACCTCTACTAAAACTAAACTCAATTTCCTGGAAGCATGCAGTTCAAGCTGCCATTTTAATAGGTGCTAAAACACTAAACGTTTTGACAAGCTGAACCTTGAACCCTTGAACCTTCATCCTCACAGTTATGAGTGTTATGTCATACCATACCTCTGTGAGTGGTTGGCGGGTGCTCTGGTGTGGTTTGCTTCTTCTTTCCTATCAAACAACATCTATCGTCCTTTTCTCCCCTTCTTCTTTTTTATGTTTGTTACACTCTTGTAACACCTCTAATCTTGTGGCGCTCATATGACCTTTTGTAGTTGCAAACACAGCGAAACGTCTACTAAAACTAAACTTTTTTTGGTTCTGTTTTCCTCTCCACCCTTTCAGATTCCTCTGAAGAAGGCGGAAGACCCCCTGAGGCTTCATCGGCAGACCGAGGCTCACTGGAGGACTTACCTGAAGAACAACCGAGACAGGAACCAGGTGCAGGCACGGTACCAGAGGATGATCTATGGGCTGGAGCCTTCCTCGGAGGAGTTGAAGCAGCGGGCGAAGCCCTTGAAGTGATGACTCAATGCTGTGTGGGTTTCTGCTGTGTGGAAGGTGTCTTTCAGTTTGCGGAGTGAGTGAGTGTGTGTGTGTGTGTGTGTGTGTGTGTGTGTGTGTGTGTGTGTGTGTGTGCACGGGTGTGTGTGTTTGAGGATGTGTGTGTGTGTGTGTTTGTGCGTGCACGTGTGTGTATGTGTGTGTGTATGAGGATGTGTGTGTGTGTGTGTGTGTCTGAGGAGTGTGTCTGAGTATGTGAGTGTGTGTTTGTTTGTGTGTATGTGTGTGTTGAGTGTGTCTCTGCTGAGGATGTGTGTGTGTCTGAGGATGTACGTGAGTGTGTGTGTGTGGGTGTGCGCTTGCATGTGTGCATGCGTGGGCATGTGCGTGTGCATCTGCTTATGTGTATATGTGTATGTGGCTGCCTGCTTGCTCTTGAGAGAACAGGATGTATTTGTACCGGTACCTGAATTAGTGAGTTTTGGAAAGAGAACTGGCTATATTCCATAGAGAGTGATGTTTTCTGTTTTGGTTTACTTTCATGTTCCATCTTCAGAAATGAAATAAAGCTGTGTTCAACAAGAATTTTGATTAATGATTTTTCTGGTGGTTTTTTTCAGGTTGCTTTTGAAATATTTTAAGTTTAAAGAGTTTTGGTTCAGACTTGAGAGATCGACTTGCTAAAATATCTGCTTTAAAAAAAAAAAAAAATCTTAAGATGGACACATTGGACGAGGTCCTGAATGCTCAAATTAAGTAGATAGGGGGTTGTACTTATAGTAAGAGTGAACAGGCTCACGGTTTTCAAGTTTCTGAATGCTAGTGCAAATTTTTTCTCCTGATGATATGTAACCCAACATACATGCCATGTCCTTTTTACTATAAAAAAAATACATCAATTTTTTAAAGGAGTTCAATTTTTAAGGGGGTGGATTGACTTGACTGTTGAGCAACAGCTGTGCTTTTGAAGGTTTTAAAACAATTTAAAAAAAAAATATGTAACAGGTATTTTATGGATCGTAGTTTCTTCCACACATCGTGTACCTGCCAAATTTTAAGAAATTGAATCACCCAAAATTCCCTCAGTGGTTGACTAGGGTATGTATGTATGTATGTATGTATAGGGTTTTACGGCATACTATACATACATACATACCCCAGTCAACCACTGAGGGAATTTTGGGCGATTCAATTTCTTAAAATTTGGCAGGTAGACTAGGGTATGATGTTGTTAATAACACAGTAATTTTCAATGACATTATGCTAAAAGTAAAAAAGTAATCTGATACACAAGATTACATCATTTTTGTTGGTCTGAGACCTCAATCGTTGGTGGTTGGCGGGTGCTCTCGTGTGGTCTGCTTCTTCTTTCCTATCTAACGTCTATCGTCCTTATCTCCCCTTCTTCTTTTTTATGTTTGTTACTCTCTTGTAACACCTCTAATCTCCAGGAGCTCATACTCTTATGGCCTTATGCAGTTGCGAGCTCCGTAAAATCTCTACTAAAACAAAAACAAGACCTCAATCTCACCTCGTGTAGGAAGCTAATAGGATTGAAGGAGTCCATCAGAATATCTTCGTTGATCACCTGTTATTGCCAGGGTATCTCTCAGAGCTATCTCAGCTGTAGACAAAAGTTTGGTTGTTGTCTCACTTGTGTCTTGCCTTATTCAAGGGACGTACTAAAGTTCACGTACTTTTATCTCTGCACTTGACCCACTTGTGAATGGAAGAAGTGGGTCATTGGCAGTTCATTCCATCTTCCTCGCCTTGGATAATTAATTAGTTTCTATAATCTTCCTGTTTTTCTGCATGTCCTCTCTCTCCTCGCCATGGTTAATTAATTTCTATAATCTTTCTGTTTTTGCGGATCCTTTGTGATGGACCTTCTGTGGGCTTGCCTCAGTAAGTCTAAATTATTTAGAATGTACCTGCCAAAATGAAGCTGTATAAATACCAAAATGCACAAACGAGCTGTAGGCTTCATTAGACACTCGGCCTCTGTACGTGTAAGCCATTGAGTTGAGCACTGACTCGGACTGTTTTCGCCAAGTAACTCCAGCAAGAGTAAATAATTTAAGAGTGCCTAGCAAATTGACTGCCTCAAACTCAAAGGCAAGGGACACTATGTCCTTGAACTGAGGAAGTAGGCCTCATAAATACATAAAAAGGAATCCCTTTCGGGCTTTGTCTTCTTGCTACTACTACTGTCTGCCTCATGGGAACACCGAAGGAGTTGGAGAAGAAGAGGATGAAAGAGAGGATTGTTAGAATATGTTACCTTCTGAGCTAGCAGCGGGTGGTTGGCGGGTGCGCTGGTGTGGTTTGCTCCTTCTTTCCTATCAAACAACCATCTTCCTTATCTCCGCTCCTTCTTTTTTGTGTTTGTTACTCTCTTGTAACACCTCTAATCTTCGGCACTTATATGACCTTATTGTGTTGCAAGTGCCGTAGTAAAACACTTACTAAAACTAAACAGAAGGAGTTGGACAAGAAGAGGATGAAAAAGAAGATTGTTAGAATGACGTGTTACCTCCTGAGCTAGCCCGAGACACACCTTTAGTTTTAGTAGAGGTTTTACGGCGCTCACAACTGCATAAGGTCATACGAGCGCCAGAAGATTAGAGGTGTTGCAAGAGAGTAACGAACATAAAAAAGAAACAGGGGAGATAAGGACGATAGATGTTTGATAGGAAAGAAGAAGCAAACCACACCAGAGCACCCGCCAACCACCCACAGACACACCTTAATTCGTTTAGGAGCAGGTTGTATACCTTATCTGTCTGTTACAGTAGGACACACGCACTAAAACAAGCCCAAAACATTGTTTATCAGTGCCAACCTGCGCTGAGTGGGCTGCCCTATCTGAGCAGAGAAAAAGACAGAGGTAATCAATAAAATATACTTTTCCATTCGGGAATTGGGACTCGCGTCTTGCATGCAATGGTGAAAAGCCTTACATTTACATCACAGATACTGGTGAGAAAACTGAAAAGAAAGCTAGAGGAAAAAAAGAAAAGGGCTCCGATGTTGGGTTTGGTTAGCATGATTATAATTATAATAAAGTGTTTGTAACTGAATGTATATAGCGCGTATCCACTCTGCTTTACAACTGACTATTATTAGCACTGCTGACCCTAGAACACCCAGAAACATTCGTTGTGGCATCCTTTGAAATGTACAAAGCAAGCTAAAAGTTTTAGTAAAACATGAACAAACTGATCTTTCGTTGTCTATAGCCCTGTAGGTCTACCCATTTCAACTTGGGTGAAATGAGGAAAGTCGTAAAAAAGTGTTTTTCTCAAGGGTACACAATTGGGCCCCTGATGAGATACAAACCCACAATCTCAAGTTTGAATCCGAAAAACGAATCACCGGACCAACGACGACTGATACCCTTTGAAATAAGCTAAAGCTTGGGTTGTGTTTAATAACATATAGATCTACCACTTGTAAAAACGGTGCGCGAGAATTTAACCCAAGAGGCTGATGCAGACACTCATATGTCCTACGTGGATGGTTGGCGGGTGCTCTGGTGTAGTTTGCTCCTTCTTTCCTATCAAACGACTGTCGTCCTTCTCTCTCCTCCTTCTTTTTTGTGTATGTTACTCTCTTGTAATGGGTACCTACCTTCGAGTTGGGGAAGTAAAGGCGGCATGGAAAGAAACTGGCCACCCTACCACAATATGCCAAAGGCCCAGGAAGTTGTCTCACTAACAAGACAATCCCCAATGTCCGGATCGGATACTGGAACAACTTTACTTTTTCACTCTCTTGTGACACATCTATTCTTCGGCACTTATATGACCTTATTGTGTTGCAAGTGCCGTAAAACTCTTTTACTAAAATTAAATATGTCCAATTTCTTTATTTCCCCTTTGTTGTTTCTGTGACAAGTACACAGACTATTTATATCCAGGCAACAATCTCTCACTTTAATACGAAAGAAAATCCTGGAATGCTACGTCTTCCCCATATTTCTATGGCGCCTAGACCTGGACTTTGACTAAGAAAATAAAACAGCTGAGCTGCGTTTTTGGGTTGTTTTTTTGGTAGGCCTAAGTGTTTCACGGCGCTCGCAACTGCATAAGGTCAAATGAGCGCGCGGGACACATTAAACTTTTTCAGTTGGTAGGAAATTTTGAATTTTGCCCGGGTGGCGGCTGAAGCCTACTCTTATCGATTTTAGACCACCAAGGGTTCTTTAACGGTGCGCAACTTGCACACGATAGCTGCGTTTGAAATGTGGTGCTACCCTAGTAGTATGGTCAGAATAAGTTGGAAAGCAAAAAAGACGAACAATGAGGTGTGTCAGATTCTCCATACAAGACAAACCCCTCCAAATAAAGGGAAAAAAATACTTTGGCCACTTAAAACGACACGGGACCATTGTGAAAGAGGTGCCTTTAAAGGAAGAATGTGAGGAAGGAGAGCCAGGGGAAGACAAAGAGTAACATGGATGGACAGCATAAAAACATGGACTGGCCTGGCCTGGGATCCTGGATATAGCAGAAAGAGCAACGGCAGCTCGCGACCACGAAGGATGGAGGGTCATTACACGTCAACCTCTGAGTCAAAGATGACACCTCCAGGTATACAGGTTGTTTCTATCTGTTGTCTTACTTCTTCCCAGCATTCATTCTGTCCCCCTCGTTTTATGCGGGAAAAATTCCGAAATTAAGCAAACTGAGCCCAAAAATGTGAAATTATGCGATTCTGTTAATTTTAACGAAGAGTGATAAAGGAAAATAATCAGAAATTATGCAAAAAATGATCAAATTTTGCTAAAATAAGCGGGGTGCATAAAACCACGGGGACACCTAAATGACCATTATTGTCTCGATATGCTTCTCTTTACTACCCAAAGTGGGTGGTTGGCGTGTGCTCTGGTGTGGTTTGCTGTATTTCAACTCCTCAAGGAGGTCGAAATCTAAGTCATTCCTCCATGTAGTTTTAAGTCTTACTTTCTCTCTCTTTCTTGTGGGTTCTCTTCTGATTAAGGCTCGATGGGCAATGTTTGCTTCATACAATACAATACTATACTCTATTCTTTTTCTCCTCTTCCTTCTCCAAACTGGGTCAATCAGGGCGTAAATTATTTACAACTAATCTATCCCAATCTCCTCCTCCTCCTCCTCCTCCTC